TCTGCAGTCCCCTTGGCCTGGGCACCTCTATCCAGAAGGCTGGCTAGCTCCCCCAGCCCTCGGCCAGGCTCTGATGGGCCTCAGAACTCAAAGACTGCCACCCCACTCCCAGGAGTTCCCAGGCATCATTAGGAAGTCCCTGCCCTGCCACGGGCCTGGCTCATGCCACCTGCTCCCAGCATCCTTGTCCCCACCTCCTCTGACCACTTCTCTGTCCCCTTCCCAGATCTGGGACACTGCGGGGCAGGAGCGGTTCCGCAGTGTCACCCACGCTTACTACCGAGACGCCCAGGGTGAGTTCCCCGTGCTTGCCCTTCCCCAGTCCCGTCACACGCACACTGCTGGGCTGAGTGTTCTCTGCCGCCTGTCTCCCCTACAGCATTGCTGCTGCTCTATGACATCACCAACAGAGCTTCCTTCGACAACATCAGGGTAGGTCCCGCCACCTGCCACCCCCACCCCGGCTCTCTTAACCACCAGAAGACCTGACCCGCTTCCTGCTCTGTGCCGCCTTCTGAAAACACCTGGCGGTGACTCAGAAGTTGTACTCGACTCGCTATTGGGCCTTTTACTGCCATGCGGGCACGGAGGCCGGGCAAGCTGGCGTGCCCCAGCGCCACCTGCACAGCCCTGACTGATTCATGAGTGCACTGCTTGTCAAAGTGTCCACAGGGCCCCAGCTCCACCCTGCACAATTAGCCACAGAGGCCGAGGGCAGAGCCCGACCAGAAAGGTCTACACAACATCCAGCCCAATTCCCAAGAGAGTGAGTCAGACAGAATGACTGCCAGGTCCTACCCAAGCCCTCGGACTGCAGATGGTAATTCAGCAAACATCAGCGCCAGTTCTGTGTCCGACAGCACGTGCGCTTCCCGGGCTCCCTGCCCTCAACAGGGGGCAGTTTGTCTGTAAGCAAGCCAGAGGAATAAGGTACAGCAGGCGTCTCCCAAACGACCACAGCATGGTAAGAATCCCGTGCACAGATTCCAAAATGTTCAGTAGCAAAGGAACAGCTTTTCATTCCACCTTTCCACTCAGTTTTTAAAATAAAAATTAATTCTTTTCTTGGAAAGGCAGAATCAGAGAGAGAGCTCTTCCATCTCCTGGCTCACTCCTCACGTGGCTGCATCGGCAGGGGCTGGGTTGGGCCAAAGTCAGGAGATTGCAGCATTTTTCGGATCTTCACAGCTTTCCCAGGCACATGAGCAGGCAGCTGGATTGGAAGTGGAGCAGCCAGGACTTGAACTGGAGTCCATGTGAGATGCTGGCAACGGTTTTCTTGCTATGCCACAGCACCAGCCCCTTTACACTAACTTTATAAACTTTTTTTTTTTTTCTTTTTGGAAGGGGAAGGAAGACAGAGGGAGACAAACAGCTCCCACCTGCTTTCTCACTCCCCAGTTACCTAAAATGGCTGGGGCTGGGTCAGGCTGAAGCCTGGGACCAGGAACCCAATCTGAGTTCTCCCATGAGGGTTGCGTGGTCCCATCTATTTGAGCCATCATCTGCCGCCTCCCTAGGTCTGGAAACCTGAAACACAACTGTCCAAACTGGTGGCTTAACGGCTAGGTCCAAATGCTCAGCCCACCACAAACTCTTTTACATCCCCTTAGGGTTATTTAAAAAAGAAAGAAAGAAAATCCATAGCACTTATTTGACCACCTCCAACCAGGTAGTGACGCCCCGCAGACATCACTCATCAATCACAGAGCTCGCTGAGCCCTCACGTGCTCTGTGCTCTTGTCTCTCCCCGGGCGGGTCAGCAGGACAGTGGCCTGCTGTAGGCCTTGTCCTGGCTCAGCTTGCCTTCTCCCCCAGGCCTGGCTCACTGAGATTCACGAGTATGCCCAGAGGGATGTGGTGATCATGCTGCTAGGCAACAAGGTGAGTGGCTCCAAGCAGGGTCAGCCCTGCACCTCCTCTCCAGCAGCCTGGGCCCCACCCTGCCCCATACACGCCCGGAAATACTCATCCAGGCACCCTCCAAGCCGAGGACTCCCCAGGCTGCAGTTCAGAGGTCAAAGCATCTGCCAGTTTCTGCCCATCCCGTCTGCCTTGTCCAAGCATTGGCAGCAGTCCATCCAGGGAGGGTCTTAACCTGCCTTCAAGTCCAGGGTTACCCATTAGCCGCAGTTACAGCCAGCCCTGTGAGGCTGGGTCATCCACCAGCCTCCTGGAGCCTGGGCGTGAGGTGGGTGCCTGCTGGGCTGGGCAACACAGCCTGAAAAAGACAGAAAACAAAAATCACCCCGGAGCCTCAGGCATCTGCTCTCAGTGCCTTTGGCCACCAGCAGAGGGCAGGCAGCGCCTGCTCCTCTGGCAAACGCTGGGCCAGTTGGGGTCAAGGCTGCCTTCCCCCAGAGTGACCCATATCGGCTTGACAGGCGGATGTGAGCGGTGAAAGAGTGATCCGGTCGGAGGACGGGGAGACGCTGGCCAGGGTGAGTGGCCACTGGCGGGGCCAGGGCAGGGTGAAGGCTCGAGCAGCGGGGGCCGGCCCTGAGGACACCTCCTCTCCGCCTGCAGGAGTACGGCGTTCCCTTCATGGAGACCAGCGCCAAGACGGGCATGAACGTGGAGTTAGCCTTCCTGGCTATCGCCAAGTGAGAGCTGCAGGGGGAAGGGGCCCAGCCCGGGCAGGGTGGCTTGCGCTGGGGAAGCTCAGAGTTCCATTTGCTGAGAGCTGTTAAAAAGGGTGGAGGGGCACACACTTAAGTCTGTCCTCCCTCACACCTCTTGGTCTCCTAGGGAGTTGATCCACCGGGCGGGGCAGCAAACCCACGAGCCCAGCTTCCAGATCCGAGACTACGTGCAGTCTCAGAAACAACACTCCAGCTGTTGCACCCTTGCGTGAAAAACCCCACTTTCTCCCCAGCACTGGCTTCTTCTCCGAGGGGGCGGGGAGGCCCCCAGAGTCCCCTTCTGCAAAGGAGTGGACTCAACCCCCACCCCAGCTCCTTCTTGCCCTGGGATTGTAGCATCATTTAAAACATTCGCCTGGGTGGGGAACCAGGGTACAACTAAGTTAGGGCCTCAGCGGCCCACTTTTGCCTTCTGGGACTGAGGGACTCCCCCCAGGTCCCCACCCTGGGCAGTACCAGGGAGGCCCATGCACTTGCAGGTGTGTGAAGGCAGGCAGGAGACTCCATGCCTACTGTCACTTTAACTGCACAGGGGCTGGGCTGCCCCTCCATGTCCTGGGGAGTCACAGCTGTGGCTTTGGAGGCAGCCCACTCCCCAGGACAAGGGGAAGAGGATCAGAGACCAGGGTTGGCCTGTTTGGCCCTCTGGCCTTACCAAGCCCTTCCCAGTGGACACCTGGTGACCCTGGCTCATGTCTCTGCACTTCAGTTCCTAGGGAACCCCGCGCCTATCTGTCTTACCTGCCTCCTGCCTGCACCCCTAGCCACCATCCTATCCTCCAGTAGGTACAGCTGGTCTGGTAGTGCTTAGCTCTCCGGGGTCAAGAGTCGGATAAACTCCTGGCTCCTGGAGCAGGTGGCCGAAGCACCCCTGGTCCGTTCCCCCTAAGCCCAAGCTCCACCTCTTACCTGACCAGCGTGCCCTAGCACTTTTCAATGTTGAGGGTCCAACCTGCCCGGTGTCCTCTCTCACTGTGTCGGGTGAGGGAATGAGAGGTCATTCCTGTCTGGGGGCAGTGTGCCAAACAAGGTCACGTGGGTACACCTGCCCCCGGAGGCAGGGTGGGCAAAGGGCCAGCAAAGCGTTCAAACAGGACCAAGGTCACAGTTCCCAAAGTCCTGCTGTCCAATTCCAAGGAAGTGACCCTAAGATCCCCAGGTCATGACCGACAGGTACTTTGACCCCAGCCCTGCTGGCCAGGGGTGGAGTCAGAGGGGTGTTGGGGGGCGGTGAGAAAGAAAGCAGCACCTTGCTGAAGCTACCCAGAATGACAGCTGCCTGGAGCAGCTGGGGCCGGGACTTGGGCCGGATAAGGAAGCGCTCTGCGGGTGCTGCGGGGCAGAGCAGGGAGGAGCCTGACCTTGCCAGTCTATCCTAGGGCCCAGCAGGCAGCTTGCAGCAGATCCGATCACAGCGAGCGTCCTGGGCCTGCAGCGCGTGTTTTTCGGAATTAAATTGCAGTATTTTGGAAAATAACACCCTGTCTCTCCACTGCTTCTGCGAGGTGGGCCTGGGGGCGGGGTGCGATCCCGCGGGAGTGTCAGCTACGCAAGTGGCCGAGCTCGTCCACTCCTCGAGGTCGTCCTTCGGTGTTCTCAAATGGTCACCGCCCGCTTGGACAGACGGTCCCCAGGCCTCCGTGGCCAGCCTGGCACCTGGCAAGGGGGCGCTTGGGACGCTTATCGGGATCTTTATTTTTCTTTCTCCTCCTTCCCTGTGGAGTGACTTTCTTCTGCCCCTCCTACTCGAACCCGCGCCTCCCAAATTCACAAGACTCCAGTTGGGGAGCAGTGGGAGCTTGCCCCCTCCTCAGCCGGGATCGCAGCCCGTACTCCTGGACTCGGGTCCTGGGATAGAGCAAACTGCCTCCACCACTGGGGAAAAAAAGAAAAAAAAAAAAGGCCCTGGCTGCCAGGGAACTGGGGCGGTTTCCCTGGCAACAGGCGCGCGCACCTCCCCCTCCCCACCCACCCCCCACTTCAAACGAAGTTTTGGCGAAGAGCTGTGAGTGCATCAGGGTCCTGTAACCCGAAGGCCGCCTCTCCTCAGTCCCCACCACAGGTTGGGGGGAACCAGAAGGGCGCCTCCGGCTCCCCGGCCCCGGTACCTGACCCTCGCGCCGGGCGCCGCCCCTCCCGCCCCACTCCGGCACTTGGTAACAAACACTTCCACTTCCTGAGCCCGCTTTCTGGGCCCTCGGCGGGGCGCCGGCCGCGCGCAGGCCCGCCCCTCGGGCTGCCATTGGCCGGCACTGTTCACCCGGCCCGAGGCCCCGGCTTTCGGCAACTCTGAGTGGCCCTCGGTGGTCCACACCCTCGAGGGCGCCCCGCCCCCGGGATTAGGGGCCGGGACGGGTTCTGGAACGCTCAGACGCCGCGCGGGGAGGGGATTGGTCCGGGCTCGTCGTCCGTGCGTCTCGTCGCCGCTCTCCGGACACCTGCTGGCTCCTCGGTGTCCGGCGGAGTGCGGATCCTCCTGCCGCACCGCCCGCTTTCCCCCGTCCCGATTCGCAGAGCTGGGCCGTCCCGTCCCCGCACCCAAACCGGAGCCCGCTTGGCGCCGCTGAGCCGCTGCGGGGCGAGATGAGCGCGGACTCGGCGGCCGGGGCGCCCCTGCCCCGGCTCTGCTGCCTGGAGAAGGGTCCCAACGGCTACGGCTTCCATCTGCACGGGGAGAAGAGCAAGCTGGGCCAGTACATCCGGCTGGTGGAGCCGGGCTCCCCGGCCGAGAAGGCGGGGCTGCTGGCCGGGGACCGGCTGGTGGAGGTGAACGGCGAGAACGTGGAGAAGGAGACCCACCAGCAGGTGGTGAGCCGCATCCGCGCCGCGCTCAACGCCGTGCGCCTGCTGGTGGTCGACTCGGAGACGGACGAGCAGCTCAAGAAACTCGGCGTCCAGATCCGGGGGGAGATGCTGCGGGCCCAGCCGGGGCAGGCCAAGCCGCCGGCGGCCACCGAAGCAGATGAGCTGCACGAGGCCAACAAGAGCCCCCCGGAGCGGGTGAGTGCGCGCCGGGGCCGGGATTAGGGGTGCAGGGGGAAAGACCCGGGCGCCCCTGCTGCCCCTCCAGCCGCGGGGTGTCTAGAGGGAAGGAGCCTGCTTCCGCCCGGCGCCCCTGCTGTTTCCAAACTGCCGCGGGGCTGCGTCCCACGACCCCATCCCCCTCCGCAGAGCTCGGCGGGGAGCCAGGGTATCTTATCCTTAGCTCTGTTGGGGGCTGCCCTCGTGCCTTGGAAACCCCTTCCTGTTCCTCCGTGGAGTCCTGTCCTCCTCCTCCGAGCCCACGGCCCCTGTGTGGGTGGGTCCAGTGCGGTGTTGAAAGGCGAGTGTACCCTGTCTTCAGAAAGTTAGCGGAGTAGGAAGCGGGTTTGTGCCCGGTCCCGTGCGCGCGGATGAGGTAGGGGAGGAGGTGGCCCTTCCCCCGCCAGCCCGCCGGCCGGCCCGGTGTGTATATTAACCTCAACTCGCTGGACTTCATCCTCCGGGAGCCCAGGGTGACTCCGGAGAAGCAGGGAGGAAGCCCCGTGGTCTCAGGGCGCCGTGTGGGGGTGGGGCGCGTGGAGGAGGCGCGGAGGCGTCTGGGGGTGGTGTCTCTGCCACCCAGGAGGATTTATGAGTCTCAGGAATGTGAGGAGTAAGCGCAAGCTTGTATCAGGCCGCAGAGGGAGGACCTTGGAGAAGGGAGGGGTGGAGATGGCCGGGGGAGGGCGCGAGCAGCGGCCCGGGGAGCTGCCTGCCGTGGACAGGTGGTCCTTCCTTGACCTCGCCCACTCTCCTGCCCGCACAGCCAGCAGGCTGGTTGCTTCTTACCGGCGCTCCAAACAATCCCAGCTGGGACCAGCTGCAGGTGCGAGCCACGCGGGGGGTGGGGAGAGGCACCTGAGGGGCCGGTGTGGCACGGCCGTCCCTGGAACCGGGAGGATCCTACCTGGACAGAGAAAGAGCCCGGTTCAGCATGAAGGTGGAGACAGAGGCCCAGCTCGTTCGGTGGGAGCGAAGGAAGTGAGGTCACCGAGAACACTGTCCAGCCGGAATTGGGTGCCAGGAGTGCCAGGGCCGCCAGGCTCCTGCTTCCTGCCACTGCCAAGCTGGTAGAGGCTAGGGTTATGGGGTGAGGGGGTCAGAGCACCCCTGGTGAGGGGGGAAGCCAGGGAACTGAAACTCTGACCTCTGGCCCCAGGAAGAAGTTGGTCCTGAACTTTGTGCTGAGTGGGAGGATTAGCCATCCGCCTCCCCGTTTTCATTCCTAGGCTCCTGCTCATCAGGCCCCTCCCCCACCCGCGGGAGTCTCAGCTCCTTCCCCGGGCCCGTTGGTTTTGCTGCTGGTTCAGGGGGCCTGGGGAGGGGGCGGGGCTCACCTGGAAGCCTGCAGGGCCCAGCTCATGCACAAGCCTTTTGAGATACCCAAGAACCCGGCTTATACATACACACACTGCTTGGTGAAGTGGCCCTACATCTGCGGGCCAGCAGAACCACCTTGGGTTCTAGGACTCACCTGTAAAGTGAGGGCATTGGCCGAGTGGCACCTACCTTCTCACTGCATGTGCCCCTACTTAGCTTTTCAACTGAACTCCTTTAAAAAATGAAAGATTTATTTGTATTGCAAAGTCAGACATACAGAGGAGGAGAGACAGAAAGATCTTACATCGGTTGACTCACTTCCCCTAGCGGCTGCAGCGACAGGGACTGAGCTGAGCTGAGTTGAACTGAAGCCAGGAGCCAGGAGCCTCTTCCGGATCTCTCATGCAAGCACAGGGTGCCAAGGCTTTGAGTTGTTCTCGACAGCTTTTCCAGGCCACAAGCAGGGAGTTGGAGGGGAAGTGGGGCTGCCGGGATTAGAACTGGCGCCCACATGGGATCCTGGCATGTTCAAGGTGAGGACTTTAGCCACTAGGTTACCACACCGGGCCCTGAATTGAACTCCTTTAGGAGGCTTGAATGCACCCCCTACCTCACCCCCTGCTCCAGGCAATCAACCCCTTAAATTGTATTAAGAGCCACCCAATGCTGAAAATCCTGCTGGTAGAAGATGCCCTGTGCCAGGGTGATGAGGGTGACCCACTTTGCATCGGCAGGGCACCCCTTTCCTCTACACAGCATCTAGTTGAGGTCTGAATGTGCTTGCAGCAGCCAGGCTGTTCCAGTTCCATCCCCAGTTCTCAGAAATGCAGAAGGGGCCGTGTGGGAGCACTGGCCTGGGAAGACCAGGCATGGTGAGCAGTGACCAGGCAGCCAGCACTTGGCAGAGCAGTAAAGCTGCTGCTTGAGACGCCCATCTGAGTGGCTGGTTCGAGTCCCAGCTGCTGTGCTCCAGATCCCAGCCTATTACTAATGCATGCATATGCTGAGGGTCAGCAGGTGACAGGGCAGTGACCCGGGTCCTGGCCTCTCATGGGAGAGACCCTGCTTCAGCCAGTCTGGCCCCAGCTCTTACTGGCATTTGGAGAATAACTCACCCAAGCCAATGTAGATGCAGGATCTCTGTGTGGGTCTCTCTGTGTCTCTCTGCCTTTCAAAGAAAAAAAAAAAGCCACAGGGCAGAGCACGGGGCTGCCTGGCCGCTGGCCACCAAGTGAGCGGTCTGGTCTTTCTGGGCCAGGAGGGGGGTGTGCTGTGGTTGGCCTTTGTCTCTACGTTCATTCCAGTGCTCCGCTGCTTTAAGCTTCCTCCTACCCCGTGCCCGGGTCTCCTTCACTGCTGGTCAGTGACAAAGACCTAAACCAGCAAGACCTAAACTCTTGGGGCTTGACCCCTGGGCAGGCCCTAACCAGCTCAGCCGCACTAGCCTGGCAGTCTGGAGTTGGGTCATCTTTGTAAGCATCGACTTCCTCTTGTGTAAACCGTGGGTAGCAGCAGCCGCCTCCCGAGGCTGTCGGGACTGTGTGAGGGTGAGCGTGCAGTGAGTGCCCAGCCAGCAAGGGTTCATTTGGATTAACATTCAGCATTTGGATTAATAAGGAATTCTCAGGGGCAGGTATTTGGCACAGGGGGTGAATTGCCACTTGGGTCACCCCCATTCCCTGTCTGCTGTGAGTTCCAGCTCCTCTGCTTCCTAGCCAGTTTCCCGCTATTGCACGTCCTGGGAAGCGGCAGCTGATGGCTCAGGGACCTTGATCCCTGCTCCCCACAGGGATGACCATTGTGGGACGACGGGTTCGTCAGCTGCCACTGCCTGCACCCCACATTGGTGTGCTGCTTTGAGTCTATCCAGCCCCCTGCTAAGGGGCGTGGGGGCAGGCAGTGATGACTCAGGTATCTGAGTTCCTGCTACTCATGTGGGTGACCCTGCTGGGGCTTTTGGCTCTTGGCTTCAGCCTGGGTTAGTCCCAGCTGTTGTAACCATTGGGAGAGTAAACCAGCAGCAGGTGGAGGATCCATCGCTCTTACTCTGCCTTTCAAGTATGTCTCTCTCTCTCTTTTTTTTTTTTTTTTTGAGAGAGAGAGAGACCCAGATTGAGTGCCCAGCTCTTGGCTCCTGCCTGACCTAGCTCTGGCTGTTCAAGAGCATCTGATGGGTAAACCAGTCACTGGCAGGTTTCTATCACTCTGCCTTTACAATAAAAGGAGAAATAATCAATAAAAAAATAGCTCAGTGATCATTGCACCTGCTCCCATGGGGCAGTGAGTGCTCCGTGCCTCTCTGCTGGTGGGGCAGGTTCAGCAATGGCCGGGCCTGGTTCTTAGGCAGTGCTCAGTGGTGGTTACTGTGTCCTCTGCTGTCCCAGGGCCCCTGGAGTCGTGGCCACCTACTCTCACCTGCTCCTCCTTCTGATGCCCTACCCTCCGAGACTTGTCCAGTTTGCAGTGTCTGCAGGTGCTGCTCAGGTCACTCACCTCCATGGCACCTTGGCAGATCCAGCTCTTCTTCCCTCCTGCTCTTTGTCCTCATATCTTTTTTATTATTATTATTATCTGTAACTTTATTATTTATCTGCTGGTTCACTCCCTAAATGCCCATACTAGCTGGAGCTGGTTCAGGGCTGAGGCCAGAAGATGTGAGGAGCCAGGAACTGGTCCAGGTCTCCCACCTGGACTGCAAGCACCCACAGGCCTGAGCCATCGCTGCTGCCTCCCAGGGTCCACGTGGCAGGAAGCTGGAGTCGGACCCAGGTGCTCCAGTGCAGGACTTGGGTGTCTTAACCAGAGGCTTAACTTCAAGGCCAGGCACCCGCCCCATGTCTTATCTTTTTATCACTCGGAACATGCAATATTTTAGTCATATGTTCCTGACCGCCACCTCTTCTGCGTGGTAAGCCCTCAGGGTCATGACCGAGGTTTATTTGTGTTTATATCCCGAGCTCCGTGCCTGGCACGTGGTAGGGAGGTACTCAATAAATATTTTTGAATTAATGGGGGAATTACTCCCAGCCATAAGGAACCTTTGTCCCTGCTCATCTCCATCCAGGGCCAGCACATCTGGGTTTCTGCCACCGACACACCCAGAGATTGGCATTCCAGATAAACCTCTCCCTCCTCTTCCCTGCCTGCTGGCAGCTTCCATTTGAAGATTAGGCAGCCAGGCTCTAGGCCTTGGGTTGAGCCAGATTTGTGTTTGGAGCCCAGCACTGCCTGTTGTTGGCTCCAGGTCTCTGGGAGTTCCTTGGTCAGGCAAGCCTCAACTTCCATGTCTATGAAGTGGGGCTGTGGGAACCCCTCCCCTGGTGGGGTCGCTGGGCAGATGTGATGATAGGGGTGACAGCTTAAAGGGGCTCGTGCCTGCCACTGCTCTGACCACAGGGGCAGAAACAGCACCATCACCGCTATAGTTAGGTGGAGGGATGGTGCAGTTAGCTGGCAGCCTACCAGCCTCCTTGCCAGAGTGGGGGCACCTGTTCCCGACCTACCAGGCTGGAGTTTGGCAAGGTGGAAGTGTTTGGATTCAAGATGCACGGGCTGTGAGACAGATGGCACTGGTTCCTACTTGTCTGTTGTTAACTTTCTCCACTGGCAAATCAAGATAATCCTGGATTCGCTCCTTCAAGCTCC